CTTTATTTCCAGCAGTTATTTTTCATTAGAAACTCTTAATGAGAGAAAGCTCATGTTTAATTATGGTGAAATTGAAGTAGATCATATTTCCCCTGAAATTACTTTTGCTCATTTAAGAAAATATCACTTAAAAATGACTACGCGTGAAATGAAGGCGTTTGTACGCCTTTTTTCGCTCATGGTTGGTGACCTTGTACCAGAAGACGATCATGTATGGCTGTTTTTTTTTGAATTTGCTCCAAATAATTGATATTTTTCTTTTAAATGAGATTTCTAAGCCAATGGCGGAAAGGCTAAAGTCACTTATAACGAAGCACCACAAAGATTATGTACAGTTTTTTAATGACACGCTTAAACCGAAACACCACTTTATGGTGCATTATTTTTCTATAATATTGCAATCTGGTCCTCCCCGTCATTATTGGTCATTTCGATTCGAAGCAAAACATAAAGATTTCAAAGCATATGCTAGAAACATTACGAGTCGAAGAAATATATGTGTATCCATTTCAAAAAATACCAACTAAAATTTGCGAAGTTTTTGCTTTATCCCGAGGAAGGAATGTATTCCATTTCCCCAAGTCCTCTTATTCCTCATTCAGAATATGAAGAAATAATTTACAATTTTTGCGCTCGAAATGAGATCAATATAATTAGTTTTCGTTGCTACTCCCAATGTATTTATCGCTCTAAGAAATACAAAAAACGGTGCTTCATTGTTCAATACGATGATAAAATTTGTGCTGAAAATGCTTTAGTTTATGAGATAATTGAAGTTGCTATTTTCACGGAGTGCGACTTAGTTTATTTTATTTGTCAGCGAATAAAAATACAACAATATAATAAACATTTCGCAGCATACGAAGTACATACTCCTGACATACGAAATCAATGTGACCTAATCGTTTTACCTGCTGAAATTTTGTCTGGTCCACCAATAAATGCACATAAAACTACGCGTGGGAAAACGATGATTCGTTCAACACAATATTTTGTTAACGCCTAAAATGCAAGCCCAAAATAATAATATAGTATTAGTTCTAGGAAAGTTTTAGCAAGACAGTAAAACTTAATGTCATGGAACCGGTAGAACCAGTCGCAGTGTTTGTTTCCAGCGAAGCATTCGCATCTCCAAACTTCCTCAATTTTGATGAAACCATATTTGACGCAAATTGTGAAGGGAGTTACGCAACCCAAACTGTGTACAACGACGGGCACGATTTATTTTGCTCACCGAACATAATTCAAGAAAAGTAAGAAAGTCTAAGTTCGGGCGGAGCCGAACATTAAATACCCGGCGCAATTATTAAATATATGTTTTCCACCTTTCCGAAAGCTACCGCTACACGATAAGCCGGGTGTATCAATTTTGAGTAAATTAGCGTCCTTCAATTTCGAAATATTGAAGTTTCAAGCATTTCTGAAATTTACCGTTATATGAGAAGCGGCCGTTATTTTAGTCCGATTTCAATAATTTTCAACGTTTTGCTTTTATTAGCCAAGCACAATAACCACACCGAGTTTGGTACAAATTGGTAGAACGGTTACCGAGATACATATATGTGATCATAAGCGTATTTCTTGGTAAAGAATTGTTGCAAGCATCAGTTTTGAATAAATTAGCTTTAATATTTACTGATTTATCGAAGATTTCGTATTTCTCTAAATTACCGTTATATGGGATGTGGGCGTGGTTATTGTCCGATTTTAAAAATTTCCATTCCGGCCATTTCGTATGTTATACCAAGGTTAACAACTGTGCCAAATTTGGAAGAAATTGGTGCAGCGGTTACCAAGATATACACATGCAACCATAAGTGGGCGTGGCTACGCCCATTTTCCAAAAATTTATAAAATTCTTATTTTTCGTCTAAAACTTATTGTAAATATCAATTTTGAGTGAATAATCTTCAGTAGTTACTAAAATATCGCAGTTTTCGTATTTCTGAAAATTACCGTTATATGGGAGGTAGGCGTGGTTATTGTCCGATTTTAAAAATTTTCGGCCGTTTGGTATGCCGTGCGAAGGCCAACATTTGTGCAAAGTTTGGAAGAAATTGGTGCAGCGGTTCCTTAGATATACACATGTAACCATAAGTGGGCGTGGCTACGCCCATTTTCCAAAAATGTATAATATTCATATTTTTCGTCTAAAAATTATTGTAAATATCAATTTTGAGTGAATTATCTTCAATAATTACTAAAATATCGCAGTTTTCGTATTTCTGGAAATTACCGTTATATGGGAAGTGGGCGTGGTTACAGTCCGATTTCGCCCATTTCCAATACCAACCTACCTTGGATTAAGGGAAACCTACAAACCAAATTTCGTTGAGATATCTCAATTTTTGCTCGAGTTATCGTGTACACGGACGGACGGACAGACGGACAGACAGACATGGCTTAATCGATTTCTTTTTTCATCCTGATCATTTATGTATACATTTGTCTATATCTATCTCGATTCGTTTTGGCTGTTACAAACAACCGTTATGTGAACAAAATTAATATACCCTTGTGCACAAGTGCGCTCGGGTATAATAAAAATGGACCGAATTACTCTTTTGGATTGGAAAGTCGTTATGGTAGCAATGAAGATCGAACTGAATTAGCTACTCTTCTATGCAGCTGGAATTTGGGAAATCTATACGATTTCTTCGTGCGTAAGTATCCCAAATAAATTCATTTTTTATATTTTTCATATTAGCACTCATCTTATTCTGCAAGTAGAGCAACAATTGTTTATAGGCATCCTAAAGCACGTATCAAAAACAATTGCTGAAAATCCTTTTGTAAACACTGATATTTCCCTTGGTGGTCGAGTGGAGTTTTTTTATCAATGGTCGCAATGGATCAAATCCTGTGAAAAGTCCACTACATCGCCATGTTTGGCGAACGAGCATCTTCAGTGCGATAAATCTACCCAATCAAGTGAAGGTCGGGGAAACAATTTAGGTGTTATTCCACAAAGTTCAACGGATAACAATAGTCAAGTTCTGGTGGCTAAGACATCAATCAATTTGATTGATATTATTAACTCAAATTCATACGGCAAAAGCATGGTTGAAACATATAAAAAACAAAAGACCATGGATGATAATTTACGCAAGCTTTTAGTTGAATCGGTTTTACCACATTCTATAATGAACAACCACGATCTTTCCGTTACTGATTGCGCTTCTATTTCACGTCAAATTTGCGAAGTATTCCCTGGCGAGTTGCCGGTAAACAATTATTCTTACTTCATTTCAAAATTCACCTTCTGTTTATTATATCCAGATATGTAATAATTCTATATTGGCAGTAAGCTAACTTCTCAATGTGTAACCATTCCGAAATCAAAGCGAGACAGTCTAGTACCGTTGTATTGTGTACGTGAGTGCCGTTTTTGTGTTTGTGTTATGTACATGGTTATTTATAAACGTCCCTGCAAAAATTTGAGGACCAGGTGGTCCACTGGGTCGTAGTTTTAAAGTATGTGCAAAAGGACCAGGTTGCATGCTAGTAACTTGTTATGCTGACCTGGACCACCTCAAGCGTAAAAAACTGATATGTGTTGAACACCACATCTTCGTGGCCCATCGGCACGGCGAATTTTTTAAGAAAATGCGTTTTAAATTATAGATTTTGCCATGTTATGCAGCGTTGGACCAGAGGTGGTCAGGTCCAATGACATAGCAATATTAATGTTACCATTTTTTCTCCATATATTTGGACCATTTTGGTTACTAGTGTTGGTTACAAAGTAGCGTAGTCCTGTACTAGTACTTAACCTAGTCCCACTTTTTGCAGGGGTATGTCTTCCTTTTCTTTCGTACGTGTTTATTGATATATCTGTACTGGATATAGGAGTATTACATATATGATTATATCGTAAAAAATTATCACAAAATGAGCATTAAAATTAATTTTACCCTTTCAGTCATACTATTACCTTGAGCGAAAAAACGCAGCTCCGTTGGGCAAGTTGTACAACAAATTCAGGAATTGGAAAGCAAATTTCAATAAAAAGACAAAGACATCAGACGGTAATTCGAAAAAACAAAAGCAGACGTCATTTTCAATAGGGGAAGATGAGGACGAACATATTAGAGCGTTGACACATGACCTCCATGCAATGGCTTATCAGGAAAAAATCAGACACTGGTGCGCGTGTGCTGCAACACGTATGAACAGCATTCGAGATGCAGAGAATAATCCAAAACATATATTTGATGTTTGGCCGCAGTACAAATTGCCTGATGGTTTTCGTTTGGTAAGGCTAAAGCGCATTCTTATTTATTTGCTCTTATTAAAATATTTTTTTTTTAGATTGAGTCTGATTTTGTGTTCTTTTTCGGAACCAGAAATGAGGTTCTTGATAACCTCACTGCTTTTTGCGATTTGCTTGTTGATAAAGTTTTTCCGAATCACATGAAGGAATTCAAAGATTATGCTAATATGTACTACAAAATAAAGAAAAACAAAGTCAATCTCTCAGAAGATAAACACACTCTTGGGGTATTCACTCCTGCCTGGTTATCTGGTTAAAATTTTGTATTTTGGTATTTGGCTGTGTATTTTGTTTTTGTAAACTGAGTTAAAAATATAACCACATAACCAGGAACGAAATATTTTAGCCTTACTTGTTTTTGATTCTATTTACAAATGTTTTGCTCAACTTAGATTCCATTTGCGCCAAAGCATTTGTTCTTTTACAGTCACTGCTGCCACGCTCTCGACTAGCTTATAAAAGACTAACAGGCTAACCTAATATTCGCGGCTTGCGTTTTGGTACGCATGCCGTCGAATTTGTTTTTTTGCGTCACCCGAAATTGACTTGCATGCGTTTGCATTTGATTTCATTGAGCGAAACGTCAAATCAAAATGTCACGCAGAACAAAAATTGGAAATTGAGTTAGCTTCATACGCACGCCGTTCAATTTCGGTTGATCTCATACAAGTTGCATGTGCATGAGAAATTTTTGACAATAAATTGGCGGCGTGCGTGAATATTAGGTTAGCCTGTAATGCAAAAAAAAGGCTTTATTCTATCAAAGTCACTAGACAGTTTTATGGTTGTTTGCGCAACTGAAACGGAATATAAACAAATGTATGATTGCAAAGTCCAGGCAGAATCATCTATTGCCCCCTTCATATCATTAATTGGAACCCGAGATGAGCCACAATCATTCATGATTGACTTTGACAACATCATTTACAAAGTTTTCAACTTCGCGAAAGCTGTGGATATATGTTTTAAAGCATACCATGTTTTTAATATGGCCTACGCCGAGCCATGCGCTGCAATGTGGGACTTCATTAACAGACAATTCTATCAGTTAACTATCAACGCCAAGCCCAAGCCAGGAATAGAGGCACTGCTTAATGAAATTAAAAGTAAGCACATGTATGATTTTTCACTGAAATTTGCCCTTATAATTTTCCTTTAATTTATAGTCGCAAAAGAAGCAAACCTAGAAGAAGATACGAATCTGCCGAGCACCTCTACATTTTGTTAAATACACTAAAATTTACGATAAAAATATAATAAAACCCACCATGCAAAACATGAGAAATAGGCAACAATTGTCAATGTCAACCAATCGGCGATTCGCCGATTTATTGCCGTAGTGAGAAATCGGCAACATCATTTCTTTTAAGTCATTTTACGAATATGTTATCAAAAATTCCCAAACTGATGAATTATGCCCAAGATAGGGTTGAAAAAATAGGAAGCCCCACAACGACGAAAATAGTTAATTTCGTTTAAAAATTATAAGTTTGTATTCAAAAACAAATGAAATATTAAAAAAGAATACAATTGTTCCAAGAAATTATTATTCAAATATCGCCTGTGTTATAATTCGTTCTATGTTTTTTACAGTGTGGAGAATGAAAACAATCGTACATTCTACGAAACAAGCGCCGATTTTACAAAAATAATTTCGGTAAATATACGAATTATTTTTGTGCATTTTACAAAAAGTTCGTAAGAAAATAAAGAAATAGTACGAAATTCTTTTGTAAAATTACGAAATTCGTTAGTAAATAGTACGAATACATTTGTAAAATATACTTAAGATCTGATGTCTCATATTTTCGTAGTATGTACGAAAACGGTTTTGTACAATCAACGAAAACTTTCGTGGCTCAAAATGACGAAAAATTTCGTAAGATTTACGCAAGTTTTCGTTATATTTACGCAGTTTTTATTTTCAGTGTAGGGAGTACACTTCCACCTGCCTTGCCTTTCACCTGAGATTTTCGCACCTTGGTCGTTACAAGCACCACAACAACAATAGCTGCTATGGTGCTGCAGTTAAATCGTTGACACTAAAGTTTTCGTCTCAAAGTCTCGAAGGTGTCGTCTGCGGGCATGGCACACTTAAGGCTCTGTTATGCATACTTGGCATTGCATGCACTGCTATACCATTTTTACGTAGAAATCAAAAACCAACAGACTTTTACGTATGTAATGCTGTGCGTTGGGTAACCGCTTACACGCGAAGCTCATTTAACAGATTCCTTATGTGACAACGCTCAAGCAATGCCAAGTATGCATAACGGAGCCTTTAGTTAGTTGCCTGTTATGTGGTACTCGTGCTATGCTACGATTATGGCTGATCCCATTGGTCGTTTTCACTTCTTTTCTCATTTATATTTCACTTTTGGGCGCCGCATAATTTCACGGAAATGCGCTGCCGCTGCGCCTCGGATTACTATGTATATGCAAAATATTGACGTGTGAACACATTCGCATAAACGCCTATGCGTGTGTGCCGCTTACAGTTGGTCTCTTCATTTTCTCCTAACATTCACAAGTATATGTATACTAGGTGCGGGCACCTCTCCATTCGTGCCATTATAAATCAAAATTGCCAATGCATATTTTGAATTTCCGTATAAGCGTATAGCTGCAACAAGAACAAAAACAACAGCAGATTGAATAGCAGCAACAACAATAACAAAATTATATCGCAGAAAAGTCGTTAGCAGCAGGTATGCGACAAAATTATTTATAGCCTGCGGTGGAGACAATAAATTGGCTACGAGTCGGGAATTAATGGCGTCGCCAAACTGAATTACACAATTGTCCTGCTTTTAAAGTAGGAAGCACAAGCAAGCAAACAATTAAATATACATACTTTTGCGCTCATTGTGGTTAATATGTTTTGAATTAAGTGGGGTGGGTCTCATTGGTCGCTTAAAATATTTTAACTTTTTTTTGCATCAAGATTTATATATTTTGTTATTGGAATTAGATTGGTTTGATTTAAAAATACATTCATATTTAATTTCACCTTAAGTTTCTATTTGCTTTCGCTTTAATTTATTCTATACGATCGAGAGGACACGCGAACATGTAGCTAAAATGGGCCTTCCGTACAACCCTCGGTGCTATGGCAGTAATCTTGAGGAAAGTAAGGAAACCGATCCTACACTAGCTTTGCGAGTGCCCAGCATTGGCACGAATATGGCATGACACACTCGGGAGTATTTCGATCCAAAGTATTACGGAGATCTCCAAATGCACCATTACTAGCGTAAATAGATTTTTCGAAAAATCCGAATGGTTTGACGAAACCAACGAAGACAGGAGTGTAAGGACCCTGCTTACAGACCGGTTTTATCATTGCAAATTTCCGGTCTCCTCCTGACATTTTTGCCTTAAGACAGCCTTTTTAACACAATCTGTAGAAGGTGTAGATGTGCGGTTATGGAGTCGAAATATGGGCCGAGACTTTATAGAATATCGCAAGAAAACAATTGCAATAACAGAACGCACGGCAGCTGGGCTTGCCTGATCTGTCAAACAGGGAAAAAATTGAAATTAATATATGTATATTTATTAAAATTGTAATTTTCTTATTTATTTTATTTTATTTTATTTTATTTTATTTTATTTTATTTTATTT